GCCGACATCCTGCAACTGTGGGCGGCGAGGCTCACCCCTTGGGCGGGTTCCGCTTCTTTTCCACCTGCGTGAAGACGCAGTCCGTCTTGTAGTTGGTACAGTGTGTGCAGGCCGGCAGCTTGCCGTCGCACTTGATCTTCTTCTTCCTGCACATGTCGCATGCCTGGCAGTGTCCGGTCAGCATATCTGCCACACTGTATCATCCGAACCGAGCGGCGCCCATCGACTCACCCTCGCAATCCTCCTCCTCTTTGCTTCGTTTGTGTCTTCCAACAATCCATGGTCCCCAAACATTTGCGCAGCGATCAGGTCGGGCGGTAGTTGCGGCATCGGGAGCCCATGTTCGTTGTAGCCCCCGAATATCTGAGGCGGCGGGTTCATGAGGGGCGGCGGTGGGATGGGCATCTGAAAGCCCGAATGCATGTTGTGGTCCATCGTGAGAAGCCGTTGGTGCCGTATCGATTCGGACGGGGATCGCAAGCTCGGTGGCGGACAGATGAAGTGAAAACCGAGGAACTCTCTGATATGAACGGGGGAAGGCTATTCGAAGTCGCGGGGCTGTTCGTGTAGCAGTGTAGCCGCCGACTGGGAGATGCTATTATTACCATCCACTCCGAGGACGGGATGGGCCGGAACAGCCGGGATTTGGGGGCTGGGCAGCTTGATACAGAACGATGTCGGACAGAGGTCGTCTGGCTATCGCCATAGCATGCCGGCGGGCTCGAGGATGTCGACTGGCTCCACTGCCGTCGTTGGGCTCGTGGCAGGGCAGATGTGGGAATATCTCGGCGATCCTGGGAGCGGCTGCTGGGTCGTCTTAGTGGAGAGGCGGACCGGGAAGGGACGCTGGTGGCGAGTCAGACAGGGCTGACAGTGGATGCAGGAATCTGGGGATGTCGTCGTTGGCCGCGTAGTCAGTGATGATCGTGACTCCTTTCTTGCATCCTAGGCCGACAGGGAGCTGCAGAAGAAGACCGGACGAAGGAGTTTTGACCTGAGGAAAGACGCAGATCATGGGCAGCGCTTGACGAGTATTAACTGCCTCGTTGGTATGGCGGGGCACGGCCCAATTCAGCAGTCGAGGCCCTGGAGTCAAGCCAGGTGAGGAGCGGGATAGCGCCGAGCGCACGGACGACAGCCAAAATTCAGGGCGCTCCCTTAAAAGTGCTTGGTCAGCCGGGCCTCTCCGAGCACCCGACCTCGGGCAATTTGGGCCTTTGGGACGACTTCCAGTTCTTTGTCAAGGCGGCGCAGAGCCACAGACGGCACAGCACAAGCCATGGCATTCTCACATTGTTACCTATGTGGAAGCGCGGGAGGTTGTCAAGCCTTCCAGGACAGTTGCTACTTGCTAGCAGATACCACGGAGGCCTCTCCGCCCACGCTCCGCCAGGACCCCAGTCTCCAGACACCCACGCCGTGATCCCCGGAACCGAAAGCAGTGACACCTGAATCCGGTGTCCCACGCCCAGCAGACGCACAGCAAATCAGGCGAGAGACCAGTGTGCCTGACCCGGGCTCCGGCGTTTGGAGATGGCCAAGAGCCTGGCAGGGGGTTCCAGCCTTGCAGCTTGCATCATCAGAGACACCGACTAGTCGCCATCACCGCACTCCCGTCTCAAGGATCCAGCATGGGCTTATTGTCTGTTCCGGATGCTGTTGCTCAGTCGCTTGGCTCGAGATCCTCTGGCATGCGTACTTGGCCCTCGAGGGGAACAATCCAGGGTGGCCAGATGTGCTCATCATATGCCTTCATGCTAACTCCTTCGGACGACCTTCGTCAGGGCTTCCACCATCGCCTTTGCCGCCCCGGGAGCCAAACAAACCTATCTCGAGGTCGGTCACATTGCACGTGTTGGGGCCGCATCTGGTCGTGAGCCGTGGTTGCTCCCGACCCAACCCTTGTCCGTTTCAAGATTGTCTCACAAACGAACCCCTGCACATCAACCGTTGAACGACAACCCGGGACCGCTTTGACGCCATCGTCGAGAATGACAAATTCACTTATGAAGAAAAGAAAAGAAGAAGGAAAAGGAAAACAACAAACGGTCAAATGATAGATTTACCCCCCTTCCCCCTCTAAAACGCCTCTCCCTCGCTTTCGATCTTAAACGACAATCTTGTCGTCTTTCTCCTCTTTCTTCTCCTTCTCCATCTCCTCATCCTCGGCCTCGTCCTCGGCCTCATCCTTCTCCTCCTCCTTGACCTGGACCTCGGCCTTGACCACCTCCTCCTCCTTCTTCTTGTCCTTCTTCTTCTTCTTGTCCTTCCTCTTCTTCTTCTTCTTCTTCTTCTCCTCCTCCCCCTCCTCCTTGGCCTTGTCTTCGGCCTTGTCCTCCTCGTCTTCGTCGTCGTCGGCTTCCTCCTCGACCTTCACCTCGGCCTCCTCCTCGGCCTTCTCCTTCTCCTTCCTCTTCTTCTCGGCCTCCTCGGCCCGGGCCTTGTCGCGGGGGCGCATCCGGCGCTTCTTGCCCTAGTAGCAGATTAGTAATAGAAAAAGAAACTTGGAGGGTAAAGAGATAGGCAATGACAAGGAAACAAGGTAAAAAGAAAGAAAACAAGGAAAAGGGGGGGAATACTATACCTTCTTGAAGGGAGCCTCCTCGTCATCCTCCTCCTCCTCCTCCGGCGCACTCTATATCCGGTTAGTGCCACTACTTAACCAACAGCAAGCAATGAAAACAAGCAATGAACTAACTCTCTTTGGCGCGGGGGGCGCGGTCGCGGCCAGCGCCGCCCGGAGCTGCACGAGCTGCTGGCTCCGAGAGCCAACGAAGCTCACGGACCTTCCGTCAGGAAGGTTGAGGGTCACTAACAAAAATAATTAGCCATCTCAAGTTCGTACCACCCCAACATGTGTATTTCGTACTATGGGCGGGGCCGGGTGCCGGGCGGCCAGAACCGGCGGGCGCAGGGGCGGGAGCAGGCCCCGCGACGGAAGCAGCCCGGGGGGGCACCGCAGACGACGGCCGGCCGGGGGCGCTGGGCGCCGGGGGCGGAGAGGCAGGGGGCGCGCCCGCGGACTTCTCGTTGGTAGGCATTCTACACGTCCATATTAGCGGGAGCCTTGAGATGAACGTCAACATCAAGCAGGGGTCATCGTGGAGGAGCCGCCCCGTCATGACACAACCCAAAGATCTGAAGGGCGGGAGTCCTGCTGCCAGACCTGATAGTAGAAAAGGGGGCGGGAGGGGTTTTGCCATCCATGATTCTGGTCTGGCCCAGCGTAGGTTGGCCGAGAATGATCGGACGGAAAGAGGACAGTAAAGCAAAACGAACACCGAAAAATGAAAGACACAGAAAAAAAAAAGAAAGAAAGAAAATGAGAACTTACTTTTAGTCGACTTTGGGGAAAAAAGAGAAGAGAGAGAATGAGTTCTTCTGTACAGGAAAATATCAGCGTTCAAAATCCGAAAAAGAAAAAAGGCAAAACACAATGGGATGAAGCAAGCAATGTCGCTGCATTCCAGTTGTGAACTTATGACTTGTGAAGATCGCCAAAGAAAAAAAGGAAGAGAAGGGGAGAGACGAGCTGCCTGACTAAATAGGTTGCTCTTACGCCTCGATTCCCCTGGTAACTGCCTTTGGTGATGACGAGGCGGCGGGGGATGGCGGTGTGTGGGAGGCAATGATAAAGTGCTCGGAGAGGAGAGTCTGGCGGGCTGGTGCTTGTTGATCAGACGGCGAGGTGGTGTGTGTACCTAGGTAAGAGGGGGCTCGTGAGTCCCGGCCGACTGAAATCGGTCCTTCCTCCCTAGCAGGCGGGCCTGCCACATTGGCGTCGACGGGGGTTCTTGCCAACCCACCGAGGAAGGTGCCAAGGCTAGAACACAGCAGTCATACAAACCGGTGTTTGCGCCATCGTTGGTACGGTACATCCCTTCCTCGCCGGCAGCGGGCTTGCCTCGGTGGATTCCAAGCCTTAATTTTGGAACTTCCATCTTTGAGTCGGTCATTAGAGCACCCATTGTCTTGGAGGCCCTCCCATTTCCGGGCACATTTGAGCACGAAAATCGCCATCCTCGACCCAAAATAACATCTCTGATGGCAAATCCTGTAGCTTAGAGAGGAACTTAAATTAGTTGACTTAAAAACTTGGATGAAGAGGAAAGAGAAGAATCTTGAAGCATACAACATTCAAAACTTTAAAAGGAAAGCATTGCGCCAAGTGATATATGTACAACTTTCGGGGATTAACTAAATATAGGGTTAAGGAGGAGACCAAAACGTCGGCCAGCAGTGTGTTAGTACCTTGTGGTCTGAGGTTAAGACAGAGGGGACTCTAACGCCTTCCTAGAGTAGGAAAGACTCGAGGTGCGACTATAAGAAATGAAAGGCCAAATTAGCAAAGTTCATGATCTACCTTGCGAGTAAGGAAGCAGCATGCCTCTCCTCATGGAACTTGAACGGCATCTACAGTCAAGTAAGGAGACCGTGACAGTCCTAAAGGTTAGGACCTCAGCACCCTGAGTAAGGCATTGCCAAAGTCATGATTTGGTATTAATTTTACAATCCCATGTCTGCCTAGATGCTAACTTTGGAGCAACTGGTCTTGAGCAAATTTCTATAAGCGTTGACTTTCCCATTTATAGGTTACTGAATGACATATAGATATGGAAGTTGTATATAGCTGTAATATAAACTGTGTTCGAAGCGAGTCTAAACGATATAGAGTTCCTAGCACACTTAAATTACACGTTGCTTTCGCTGGTTGTCAGTAAACAGATACTTTCTAGAAGTCATTGATGAGCTCCAAACCTTGTAACGATTTACAAACTCGAATTTACCTAAATCATCTCCTTTAATTCAACCCTTAAAGAACTATTTAATCGCTCCTTCGTTAACATAAGCCTATATATCATGATAAAGATATAATTTTCGTTGTTCTAGCAGTATATACGATGATCACTGTGCAATACGAACAGATAGGAACGTTGACTTCTCTGTCCTTGCAACTATAGAAGCACTATCTTCTTGCTATGTTAACTCATCCAATACAAGGCCTGCTGGCGTAATTGGTAGCGCGTTCGACTCCAGTTAATTGGCGATCGAAAGGTTATCCGTTCAAGTCGGGTGCGGGTCATTAAGTGTTTTTTTTCAAGTGTAAACCCAAGTTTCTTCTTTATTGAGAGGAGTAAGGAACAAGGGTCTATGTTTTTAGTTTAGACATTTGTATTAAAGAATCCTTGAAGTGGTAATAGGACTCTTTGCTTTTCTAAGGACAAACTAATATATAGAAATATTGTTCCACGACAGGACTGTCGAGCCCGGCTGTTAGCGATGACAGCCGGCCGTCAGCCCCTTGTCGTGCCGGGTTATGAAGTATATAGACCGCGCCTTCCTCTCCTGCCTCTAACACCGAGGAAGGACATCGAATATGACCACTTTATGGCCTCATACTAAGAGTTCACTGCGTGCCTGGCACAGCGCTGTCATCGCTGACCCCGCTGTGGTTCGAGAGGAGTACCTCGGAACGTAGTAGCTGTACAAGTCGCAAACTCGAGAGTTTACTCGGGGGATTGCTTTGCAGCTGTCATGGTCATTCAATCTATCTCAACCTAGAATAAGGTATATAAGCGCTTGACCTGGTGAACATGATAGAAGGATTAGATGGTAGGCCTAAACGACAAGTCACCCGAAAGGTGGCAAAACAAGAGCGGAAAAAAGAAACAAAACCAAAACAACATATATAGAATAAAGGGGAAAGGAAACAGAATAGGGGCGACAGGAGGTAACAACAACACCGAAATGTTCGAGTCGAAGAATACTAGGTAAGGGATCTCACATACCTTAGACGCAACACTCCGAGTCACGCTCTTGAAGGTGAGCGGGAAGAAGGAAGGAGCGATGAATGAGAGAGCAAGGTGGCAGGGATGGCCACAACGCCCCTTCCCTTCTGCCCTCGAAGCCGACACGGGTGTCCGATGAAGGAAGGTCCTGTCCGCAAGAATCTCCGGTCTCAAGCTCATGACTCAAAGTGAAGCCCAAGGGCGGCCAAGGACAGTCCCCAGCTGGGAAAATGGAACGGCGCGGCAGGGGACACAGGCAAGCTTCAGACGGGTTCATGCGATGTATGTGTCCACCAAATATATTCGCCTCTGATGGATGCTCCCCAGAAAAGTATGTACAGCGAAGTCCCGTAAACACAAAACTCGACGCCAAAAGGCCCGCCGGCGGCACAAGATGCCAAATGCACCCAAAAAGTACTCGCCGGTCCTGTATCTACATCTATCGCGTCCCGAGCTGACAGAGATGGCCTATGTGGTGTGTGCCCAATAGACAGAGAGAGAGAGTGTGTATGTAAATCGCGCCAGGCTGCCACCCTGACGCCGTTGTTCCAGACATTATTGAATAAGTAATGCAGCATGTACAATGTAAATCGACTTTTCCGCCAAACATCGTCACGCGTCCTCGGTGAACCGCGAACCGGACCCCCGCGACCCGTCTCGCGACGCAAAGCTGCGGCCGACGGGATCCGGTATCGGCAGGGCTACTGAGTGGCGATGGCCGGGCGGTAATGGCCCATGCTCTTGTACGGGAGTGCGTTGAGCGCCGTCGTGGTAAATGGGGACGCCGCTGACCGGGCGCATGGGCGATCCGAGTTGGAAGGGGTTCGAGCTATCCGAAAACGCTTGCGAGTGGCGGTAGTACGACGACGCGCTGCCGATGCTGTCGTGGGGGTCGGTGTAGCCGTCACCGCCGGATTCGAGGACCGAGACCAACTTTTTGCCGGATACCCTGTAGAATCCCTTCTCCTGGGTGGGCGGTTCGGAGGGCGGCGCGTCGATCGCTCGTTTGCCGCTCAACATGGCGAGGGCGGACGGTATCGCAAACGGGCCTGTTCGCTCCGCCATGGCCCTCCCGCTGCTGGGGCTGGCCGATCCGCCGGATGAAAAGCCCCTGCCCCGGGCTGTGCTGTCCCCGTCGCCTAGCAACATGATGCCCTGGCCGCGCTGCCTCCTCCACTTCAGCAAGTACAGTAGGGCGACGGCGATGAGGGCGATGCCGGCAAGACTGCCGACGACTCCTCCGACGACGACATTTCGGGTTTCAGGGGCGAGCCCAGCAGGGGCGTCGGCGGTCGGTTCCACGGGAACGGGGACGGCAGCCGAAGCGCCAGCGTCGGTATTTGTGCCGGCTCCGCCAGCCGCAATCGTGGGAGCATTGGCATCGGCTGTGGAAGTCCAGAGAGAGCTGCTGCTCTTGGTCGAAGTAGAAGCGAATGTGGAACGAGAAGAGGACGAGGTCCGTGTAGAATTCGAGAAAAGGCTGATGGTGGAATTGCCAAAGAGCGAAGGTGTGTGTGCTAGCAAGCGTCAGCGGGCGGACAAAGGGCACCGGGTCAATCAGACGCACTTGACGACGAGTTGGAAACCCCCGTTAACGTGGAAAAGGCAGACGAGCTGCTTAAAGGAGTGGACGTCAACGTCTCCGAGGACGCAGACAAGGAAGACGACAAGGTCTCCGACTCGGCGGAGGTGGTTGACGATGGCGCGCCATCGGTCAGATCGGGAAGCAGGCCAGAGAGAGACACGCTGGGCAACACGTCGCCGATAGCGGTCAGAGCAGCAGTGACAACTGCCGGCAAGCCGAGGGTAGGCGGTGCGACAGAATCCGAGGTCAGGGTGTCGACGCTGGTGACGGCGCCCGTGGCATCGATGTAGTGGACGACGGACACGGTCTGGACGATGACGACCTGGCGGCCATGCAGCTTCTCGTTTGGCGGTGAACGAATGTGGGGCGAGGTGGTGTCGGCCTCGAGGGGTTGCAAACGACGGTGTTGATGCAGATGCAGGTGCTGGTGGTTGAGGTTATGGTTGTGGTTGTGGATGTGGTTGTGGCGGGTGCTGCGGGCCTGAAAGAGTGAAGGCCCGCTGGCATCGCCTTGGTTAGTCATGACGACTGGCTTGCGTGGCTGTGGGAACGAATGTGGGCAAGAGCTGCCAAAAAAAAAAAGAGGCGTTGGCGGTGGGCACGAATCGCACGGCAGGCTAGCAGCCCGATCCCGTATTCGATGGTCCCGTCGATGGCCTGGAGGGATGGATGCTCGTAAACTCGAGGCTGGCTGTGCGCGTGATCCAGAGCGGTCGGCTCGTCATGGTCGCAGTCACCCCAGCATCTCTCTCGTCTGTCTCGTCGAAAGAAAACCGGAAATTCGACTTTAACCGTCCCTTCTTGCAGCCAAGCCAAGCGTTAATGTACTGTATCGTCAAAGTTAGGGGGAGGCACCGGAATGCTGTCGACTCACCCGCTCCACATGTCAGCGCTGCTGGAGGAGGTCAAACTCGCAGCGGCACGCCTGACAACCAGGTGGAAAGAAGAAAGAAAGAAGCAGCGCGAACGGGCAACGTCGCGTGGATATTCGCTCGCCTGCGAAGCGGCCTTCTCCCGGCGGCCAGAGATCTATTTTAATTTAAATTGCCGGCCCAACAGAGCCCAGACAGCGAGCTCCGCAGTCGTCGTGGGCACCGGCCTGAGCCTGTGCAGCCAATCTCGCTTCCTTGGGCAGCCCGGCTTTCCCCCCCGCTGGCCGGCACCATTGGCCAATCGTGGTGTCGACGCCGATGCAGGAATGCGGACACCCGCCGCCCTCATTGGCGCAGATGTTTAACATGGGTTTTATGGATGGAGGCCAGGGGCCCCCACCGTCCGCCATTGCCCGCTTTCCAAAGAAAAACACGAGATGTGGACGCCCCCACTGTCGATGGGCTGCCAGTTGTTGCACGACAACGAGACGCAGCACGGGATTCGATAGTCGGCAAGATTGTGCTGCCAGCTGCCCAATATCGGATCCGGAGACGGGGCGCTGAGCAAGGGAGCATGGAAATCGGACGGGTTGATGCATGTCAACGAGAAGGGGTTCTTTTTCCTCCTGTTTCACCGTCCGGGATGTGGCCTTCTCTGCGGCCCCAGGTGGGATAACTTCAAACAAACCAGTGTACCAGGCTACCAGCAGCTCCCGAAAGGTATTGAGTTTCGAGACCGGGTTGTTTTTCCAGGCTGCTTCCTGGGGTTGTTCCGGGCAGAGTGAACGCACCGTGAGGGTGAGCCGACCAGTTGCTGTCTTGCACGTTTCTTGTATCTATACGCGTATTATCGTACGCGTATTACCACCGTTACCGTTCCTGGCTGTGCCTGAGATCGGCCGCGGGGAGTGGGGCAGGGGTTCTCCATCACCTTCCAGACCCAATATGACCACAGTCGACTGCCGTTGACCTGTCTCTTGATAAGGCACCGCAAGTGAAAAGCTTTTTGGAACGCCGACACGTACCACTTGGGCTTACCTACAACATTATGGAATAACCCAGGCCGCCGAGCCACGCCGACACCAGCACGCAACAGCCCACCAATCCCTGCTGACGTCATGCAGTGGGCACCGACCCCGGCCTCCGGATCCTCGATGCTCGGCGTCCCGGAGCCTGCCGATGGCCCCCCGTCGCCGCTGGGCGCTTTGAGGCCGTCCGGCGGCGAGATGGGCGGCCTAGGCAGCCTCTCCAGCCCGCCGTGGAGTGCGCGCGACCCCCGGACGTCGTCGACCCAGTCGCTGGTGCCGTCGACGGTTGACGGCGACGGCGACGACCACAAGCGGAGGCTCCTCGTCGTCTACATCCACGGCTTCATGGGCAACAACTCGTCCTTCCGCTCGTTCCCCGCTCATGTCCACGCCTTCCTGAAGGTCCTTCTCGCAGAAACCCATGCCATCCACACCAAGATCTACCCCCGCTACAAAACCTACAAGTCCATCGATGTTGCCCGTGACAACTTTAGCAAGTGGCTGGCGCCCCATGAATCTCCTACCACGGACGTGGTCCTGGTAGGACACTCGATGGGCGGACTGCTTGCGGCAGATGTGGTTTTACTGGTATGTCCTCAGCACCATATGCCTCTAGAACTCAGCACGCTGACATATCCCCAGCCAAGCCAAAGCCCATACAACGCTTCATCCCCCTTCCGCCACCGCATCCTGGGCACCATTTCCCTCGACGCTCCACTCCTCGGTCTTCACCCGGGCATCGTGGTTTCCGGCATCGCGAGCCTCTTCCGGCCTGCCCCCAGCCCGCCAGGGATGAACCAGGACGCACA